TAACCTCAACATGTTTTTGGACCTTGTGGGAGGAAACTGGAGAACCCGGAGAGAACCCACGCTGCACGGGGAGAACATGGAGACTCCACACAGAAAGATCCCGGGTGTCCTCAACGGGAAGCAAACCGGCAACCTTCTTGCTGTGAGGCAACAGTGCTACCAACTGCGCCACCCTGCAGCCCCCAAAAGAATTCAATTTAATTCAATTTTATTTGTATAGCATGGTTTATAACACATGCTATCACACAGTGCTAAACAAAGTAAGGTATAGACCTCACAAATTTAAACAAAGAACCCAACAATCCAAAGTAGCCTTTGGACTCCCTCTGAGCAAGCTGTTGGCAACGGTGGGAAGGAACCAAAACCCCCATCCAAGGGAGGGGGGGGGGGACCTCCGGCAGAACCAGGCTTAGGGAAGACGGCCATCTGCCTTGACCGGCTCGGTGAAAGTCGGGATGAGGGGGGGGAAGCATGATAGCAAATGGAGAGCAAGCAGTAGAACAGAACAATAAAGAAGTGTTTTGGGGGTCAGTGAGGCCAGCGGCTGCAGGTCAAGGACGTGAAGCTCCAGATCCAGAGATGTCCACAAGGAGAACAAGCACAGGACCTCGGGGGAAACACAGTTATTGATATGTAATGGTGGTTATAACTGTATGGAAGAGAGGAGAGGAGCTCAGTTCATCATTGGAATCCCCCGGCAGTCTAAACTTACAGCAGCATAACTCAGGGACAGTTCAGGTGATCCTGAGCAGCTCTAACTATGAGCTTTAGCAAAGTTTTAAGCCTAACCTTAAAGGTACAGAGGGTGTCTGCCTCCCAAACCCAAACTGGGAGCTGATAACTTAAGACAGGAGCCTGATAACTGAAGGCTCTGCCTCCCATTCTGATTCTGGAAACTCTGGGACCACAAGTAGACCTGCAGTCTGAGAGCAAAGGGTTCTGTTAGGATAATAAGGTACGATAAGGTTTTTAAGGTAAAATGGAGCTGGTCATTGAGAGTTTTATATGTTAAAAGCAGGATTTTAAATTCTATCCTGGATTTTACAGGGAGCCAATGAAGAGAAGCTGATACAGGGGAAATATGATCTATCTTACTGGTTCCTGTGAGAACCCTGGCTGCAGCATTTTGGATCAGCTGAAGGTTTTTGAGCGTTATTGGGACATCCTGACAATAAGGAATCACAATAGTCCAGTCTAGAAGTTAGAAATGCATGAACTAGTTTCTCAGCATCACTCTGAGACAGGATGTTCCTAACTTAGGCTTACATGGCTTGTTTGGTCTGGTGGAGTCTTTTAGTGCGAGGTACTGTTGCCGATTTTGTTTAGCTGAAAAAGATGACTTCCAAACAGAACTCTATGAAGATTCTCCCAAAATAGCATTGCGCTCCAAAGACACCTACACTGCTCACTGTCAAGGAATGGCTGGTAATCCATGGCTTCCTTATGTGTTTGGTGAGAAGTTCATGCTTATTGAATTCACTGACATATTTTCACATAACTGAGAACTTCACAGTTGATGTGATGCATGACATTTTGGAAGGGGTGGCTCAGTACGAACTGAAGTTGTTTGCATTTGAGAATACAAAGTTCTGATTATGGATTCATGGAGAGAAACGATAGACCAGTGGTGGTGAAGTTAGGTGGAGAGTCTAATGATCTGGGACTGAATGCAG